ATAAAACTGAAGAAAATAAGACCTTGCTTGTAGCTGTAGTAAAATTAATATGGTTGTTTTAAGTAATGTTATTTAATGTTAATAAATGGAACAATACAAATAGCTAACGATAATGGTAAAGAAAAAAGAGAGATCGCGTATGTAAGTGCGCATGCGCACACATGAAAACATATCGTCATTACTTTACATAAGAATATGAAAGCAACACTTATTTATTGTTCATATATATTTTAATTAATGTTTCTGAATTTGTTTTATTGAATTAATGTATGTGTGTGCAAAATTAACAATGCAATTTATTAATAATACGTGGAATATTAGAGGAGACGAGACGGCTGCCGGCATTGTTTATGTTAAAGCTTACGAAACCAGTGACTGATTGGTTCTACATATAAAACTGAAGAAAATAAGACCCTGATTTTAGCTGTAGTAAAATTAATGTAAAAAAATTAATATGGTTGTTTGAAGTACCTGTAATGTTATTTAATGTTAATAAATGGAAGAATATAAGTAGCTAACCATTAATGGTAAAAAAAAGTGAGACTGCGCGTATGTAAGTGCGCACATGTGAAAACATATTGTCATTACTCTACATAAGAATATGAAAGCAACACTTATTTACTGCTCATATATGTTGAAGGGTTAAATGTTGTACTCTGTATAGACAAGCAGAGAGAGAGAGAGAGAGCAGCCGAACTGCCGGATGTAAACAAACCTTAATTTCCCACTGCTTTGTTTTTTTTGTTTTTTTTTTAACGGAATTAGCCCACCCGGGCATAGGTCGCTGACCCACATTGGGGCCTGAGGGACAAAAATTTAATACTCCTGTAATAATAATAATAATAATAATAATAATTCAGATAAGTAAAAAAAAAAAAAAAAAAAAAGCTGCCTATTGGACAAACTAAAATCGTTCCGGACCACGGGAGTTTCCGGACCACAGAATGCCAGACTAGAGAGGTACAACCTGTAACAGGACATCTGGGATTAATTGAAATAGAGACTGGGCCGACCCCCAAACTCCACTTTTTCCAACACAATACGTACCTTCTAGTAAAAATAACATCTTAATTTTATGATGGTACGTACACACAATTAATAATTAAGAGAAATATCAATAATATTTGGTTTTTTAACACTTGCGTTAATAGAAAAGCTGGGTCGGCACACGTGAATGGCGGTCGGTTCCGAGGCAGAGGGCAGATTAGTTGCCCTCCGGTGAATCACTTTCACTACTCGCAGAGGTTTGCAGGGCCTCCCAGAAAAACCTCTCAAAGTCCATATCCTCACTGTCAATATCACTATCACTGACTTGGGCTGGCTGTGGTTGTGGTGGGTTGCGGGCGAGGAGGTCCTCAATACTACGTTGACGACTAGCATTGATGTTGTCGAGATAGATCTGGATATACGGCTCCATAAATTTCATCAGATGGTTATTAGACACTTCATACCGCTGCTTGTCTGGGTCGTTGTCAAGGATGAGCTTAATTTTCTCCCCCAACTCGATTATTTCCTTCACATTATCATGGCTTGGTCCAGGTAATTCAAGGTTTTTCTCGGGTGGTGGGGGTCCCGCGGAAGCCATTGTGAAGGGAATAGCGGGCACAAGAGAGAACTGCATACACGGACTGAGAAAAATGAGACAGGTCCGGCTAGGTCAGCGACTTCTACTCTCTGGTGGCAGGGCACGTCATGTTACATTAGACCAATCACAGCTAGCGGCAGAGGGAATGGGTGGATAGTAAGGATGCGTGGCCCAATCACAGTCCGATACGTCATATGACATCAGCGATAACGTAAGAGCGGCCTAATGCGCACCGCTCACCGAGCCACTTCCGGCGTATGGTCAAGAATGAACCGCGTGGGTAAAAAATGGCGCGGCTGTCTGGACCTCTCCAGCCGCTCGCCGCGTAAATGATAAAATTTACCGCGTAATTAAAGCATTTCATTCTGGCAAGACACCACGTAAATGACCAAACGCGTAAACAAAAAACGCGTAAATCCAGACTACTGTACTCGAAATCGAAAAAACTTTAGTAGTTAGCCTAGCACAAAGGATAGCATAGTCTAAATAAATGTTACATTCATATCTAATAATGAAATCATACAGTAAATGTTACACTTTACCTTGAAAAAATATGAATATAACTTGATGGGGGAGAAGGTTGATGTTGAGGTTGAGGAGTCATGCAGACAGGAGTTGAGAGTTGTCATCGTCATCATCAGTATCATCATCAGGTGCAGTTTTGGTTGCATGGTTGGGACGAAAAAAACGTCTAATTCCAGAAGTGGATGGCTGTGGTTCAGTGTCTTCAGACTGCTTCTTTGGGGTTGACTTAAAAAAAGACTTCTAATGTTTGCTGCTTTGCCGTCTTTCTTCTTTCACAAAGAAGCCGTTCATAAGGTGCCAAAAAAGATTTAACACCACGACCTGCAATCCTACTCCGTTCTGCATTGTAGTCATTTATTCTTCCAAGAGCTGCAACTGCTTATCAACTTCCCTCAGGATAGAAAAGAAAAGAAAAGTGGGAAGCTCTCGTGGTTTTGCATCCTGGACTTCATCATCTTCGGCATCTTCAATTTCCCCAGCAGCAACAAGTTGTTGTAGATCAGCTGTAGAGAGGTCTTCACAGTGGGACTCGAGCAGTTCCTCAACATCAGCACTTTCCACTTCAGCAAAGCCAACTTGCTTTGCAAGAAAAACACAATTTTCTTTTATTTTTGGGAGCTCCTCTGATGCATCAAAGCCTTTAAAATCATGAATGAAATCTGGGAGAAGCTTCTGCCAAACTCCATTCAAGCAGTCCTTACTTACATCACCCCAGGCCTCCACAATGATGTCAATTGCATGCTTGATGTTGAAACTTTTCCAAAACTGAAGAACACTGACCTTATCATCTCCTTCCTCAGGAGCTGCAATATGTTTCTTAAATGTATGCCTCAAATAATAGGCTTTGAAGGCTGTTATTACTCCTTGGTCCATAGGTTGAAGGAGAGATGTTGATATTGTCAGAAAGCTCAGCAATGGTGGGAGGGTGGCTTGGCGCATTATCTAAAATGAGGAGAATCTTAAAATTGATATTATTCTTCTTTCAATAACCCCGCGCCAAGCGACAGTACACTTAAAACGTTCAAGTGGAATCGCGTTACAGCCAACACACGTTCGCGTTTTACAAATATCGTTCTTCTATTCATCAATCGCGTTATAGCCAATTCGCGTTGACAAAACACGCGTTGTAGCAGAAATGACTGTATATTTATATACTGTGCACACACATACACACAGGTATGGGGTCATTTATCTGGCATCCCTCTACAGTATCCACAACACTCCAAATACTGGCTATGTTGTAGATTAAAAATTTAAAATGACTGCCAAAAGTAATTCCCGGTCCGATTGCGAATATTTTTCAGCACTCCCCACCTGTGAGCCATATGTTATGTTATGGTTATTTTTCAACTTGTAATTTTCGATGAATATATATATATACAGTAATTTTCTTCAGTTTCTTTGCTTAGTTACATACACACACACAGTCTTACATACAGAAGTGAAAAAAATTATCATAAGGCATAAAGTATTTTTTTTTCCCATTGCATTACATGCACACACGATCCTACATACAGAAAGTGCAAATAGAAATAAAAGAAATAATTACCATAAAATATAAAGTTTTATGTATCTACGGGTTTACGTCCGGGAAGGTGTGTGGTGAGTCTGAGAATGGTCCGTGATGGAGCACCATTGCTAGGGATGCCGTTACATTGCTAAGGCAAATGAAATGCATTTTGTATACTAATTTGTATCATATTTGCTCTTTTTATGATTTCATTACTACAGGTATCTCTCAAGATACAAAACTTCGCTTACAGTACAGTACTGTATATGAATTTCCTAAATTGACAAAACTATTTTGTGTTATGAAAGCTTTTCCCTCTTCTGCGAATTTGGATCCCAAAAAAAATTCAAATTACACACACATAAAGAAAATAAATATTTCTTCATGCACCAGCAAAAGTTAACAGGATGACCTGGGAAGAGTTATGATTATTTTTCAACTCGTAGTTTTAGATAAATAAACTCAACTTTCTTCACTTTTTTTGCTCTATTTCATGCACACACAATCCAATGAACATAATGTGCAAAAAGGGTAAAAGAAATAAGTATCATAAGGTCAAAACTTAAAGAGAATAAACATTTGTTTGTTTGTATGTGAGAGCGGGGTAGGGAGCGTTGCAGATCAGCAGAGGTGGCCAGACTGGTTGCTATGGCAATCCTTGAGGGCAGCCAGCGGCAATGCAAATGGCGCCACTAACGGCTGTGTTAAACTTTGATTCAGCGTTTCCTCAATGGTTTTAGCTGCATATTTTCATCAAGATAGTATTTATTAATGTTTTTAATGTATTGGGTAGTAAATTACAGTATTGCAGTTGTGTACTATTATCATTAGTTAGTTAGGTTTTTATTCGTTTGTGTACCGAGTTCGTGTTGAGGGGGGTATTTTTGTCATTCGGGAACTGATCCCGATTTTTCCCCTAAGTTTTTCTATTCGAGATCCGAAAGTTCACCTAATGAATGTTTTTTAAACCTAACCCATTCGTATCTCAAGGGATACCTGTACTGTACTATTTAAATGCTTTTGTTATTGCTGTTTATTTGCCTACAATTTTATGTTTTAATGTTACAATGTACAGTTGAAGCCAGTACGTACAGTCTTCACAGCCAGTTACTCAAATTTTTTTACATTTTAGGCCTTACGCTCCAAATTCCAGAAGAACCCCCTATCAGGCAGGCCCCAGGTCCCAAGCTTGCCCGATAAATGGTCCCATACCTGTACTGTATTATACTGTACAAGTATATCCCTTCAGACAGAATTTTTTTTTCTGGCTACACCTTTTTTAAATTATTGTATGGGTATTATTTAAGAAAATGAATTGACTTGATTTTATTGTTTTTTCTGATTTATAGTACAGTAAAGTCTTTATTTTGTGTTTCATAGGCCTCCTGATGAAGTTCTGAAGCAGATCTATGAAAATGTTCCTCCGGCTGTGAAAGAGAAGAAGACAAAATCTGCCACGATGTCCCCAACGACACCTACATCCCCCACCTTTCCTACACCTCCCATTAGTTTTCCTACTGCTCCAGTTGGTGCCAGTGCAGCTTTCTCTTCTCCTGCTGCTGCACCACGCCCCTCTATGCCACCACGGGCCACCTGACAAAAAAGTTCAGAGTAGAAAGAGTTTCTCATGAGCTATGTTTCTGGTTTCTGTTTGGGTCAGTTCTGTTAAATTCCTAACTTTTAAAAGTGTTAGAGAAACCTTAAATGGACAAAATAAATATCTCTCCATGTACTAGTTATTTACTGAAATTTGCAGGACCTTTCTGCTCTGAACAAGTGGACTGTCTCTGAGTTGCTGATAAATTTTTGTACAAATATTGACAGGCTGGGCCTACTGATAACGAGTTTAACAGAAGACGAAGCTGTAATTTTTATTGAAATGAAGATGAGCTCTAAAATCAGATAAAAATCATTTGCTACTATTGTCTCGTCTGAATCTGCTGCAGATTGCATTGCTAGTCAACTGCATTTTTGGTTATTAGTTACTAGAACTACGATGTCCGACACAAAAATAACGAGACTGACCCTATAACTCGGGAACCAAGAGTGGTAGGGGAGGGACAAACAGACGGTTATTGAACATGCTTTAACCTGTCACAGTGTGACAAGGCTCAACTCGATAGCTTCACTCAGTACAAGTGGACACATGTTGAAGTATAGAAGTGTTCTTATGCTCCGTCGGAAAATGTCGGACTGCAAAACTGAGCAACGAGTTAACATCAAGTTTCTCGTTAAACTTAAGAAATCCTTGATGGAAGCTTTTCAATTATTGACTGAGGCTTATGGTGAAGATTGCATGTCTCGTGCTCGCGGTTTTGAATGGCACAAACGATTTTCGGAAGATGATAACCGCCCAGGCTTTCCACTCACAGCACTTACCGATGACAACACTGAAAAAGTGTGAGATGTGATTAGGTTGGGTGTTCAAGCAATAGCCGAGAAAGTTAATTTAGACAAAGAAAGTGTTCGACACATTCTAACGGAAGAATTGCACATGACAAAGGTTTGTGCAAAAATGGTTCCAAAATTGCTGTCAGATGAACAACGCGCCAGCCCACAACCCTGTGTCTGTGAAGCAGTTTTTAGCCAATAAAAACATCACTGCTTGAGCATCCACCCTATTTGCCAGACCTGGCTCCCTGCGACTTCTACCTCTTCCCAAAGATCAAGTCAGTGCTCAAAGGAACCAATTTTTTGTCGGTAGAAGAGGTGAAAGCAAAAACGACGGAGCTCCTCAACAGCCTTACAGAACTTGATCTGCGGAATTTCTTTGAACTGTGGCAGCATCGTATGCAGCTGTGTTTCAACAAAGAAGGTAATTACTTTGAAGGCAATCACAGTTGATTTTCTTAATTTGGTAAATAAAAAGTTACAGCATCAGTCTCGTTTTTTGTGTCGAACCTCGTGTAAAGCCTCTACAGTTTTCAAATGAGATTTACAAAAATTAATTCCTCTTGTCTTGCTCTGAGAGAGCACTTGAATGCATTGGTGTTGGGAATGTCATTGCTGAAGCTTAGAGGGCTATAAATTCCTGATAAGATTATATTTGTGTATCAGAACATGTAAATATATAAGTGGTTCTGAAGCTGTACCTGATGTGACCACACAGAGAATAAAGCACTCCAGTCCAATTATAAAAATCACCAATGCATCTCAATGCAATTTTTTCCTAAGAATTTCAACATTTAATATTGTTTATACATTCCAAAGTGAGATAGTGTTCTGTTTTTCAACTGTATCTAGTGAGGTGAAATATTTTCCAATTCTATTTTGATGATTCACTCAATTTTCATTTTTGCTTCATGACAGCTAATTAAATACTGTATTTTTCCTTATTTCTAGAATGTGAATAATGTTTATAGACAATATACAGTAATGAGACAGGAGAGTGATCCTTATTGGTTATAGTTGAAAAAGGGAATCTTATACTGTAATAAGCATTTCTTTCTCGTCATCCTCAAGTGAGCAATTTGTCCATATTCATAATTTTTTCTCAGATGTCTTCTTTACAGGCCTGCATATACATCGTGGTGTTTCCCTTACTGGTTTAAAGTTAAAAAATCTTCATGAGGGCCATTTTTTTTCCTTTAGATGGCACTACTTTTGATATGACTATCCAGTAGTTTTGATGAGTGATCCATTAAGAAAATTTGTACTGTATTATAAATTACTGTCCATGAATTACATAAACATTTTTTTAAATGTAATTGGTTCTTTAATTTGAGGTCTATTAACTATGTACTCTGCTTTTGAAAGTAAAAGAAAACATTTACACTTCTGCAATGCTGGCTGTTATATAATGATATTGTGATGCTTCAAGATAGATTGCCTCAACAGGTTTTCATGGTACTGTACAGTAATATATATATACTGTACATGTTCTGTGGCATTGCCTGACCTCTACTCTGAAACAAATAAGCAGACACTTATCATGTAACTGGTAATTTAGTAGTCAGCAAATTCAAAATCAGTACTGCTCAAATATCATTAGCCTCTCAAATGTTGTGGAAAAATAGTAGGTAGTGGTTCCAATTCAGAAGATAATTTTCAATCCGATTAATGTATTTTCATATATGCAGAAGTGCTAATTCTGCTTGAACATTGGTTGAAGTTTATTTTTATCTTCCTCAAGAATCCTTTGATATTTAACTCAACAATTTTTTGAGAATGTACAACATGGTATGTGTCATTCTCATTGATACTTTTGTGTTGAATAATATTTTGGATAAGCTTGCTAAATAAACCTGTGTAAGATGCAGTTCTGGTTGTTGAAGATATCAGAAACTTTTCTTTCCAACAAGTCCTAAAGTTTGCATTTATATTTAATTATGGTTTATCAGTTGCCTGAATTTTTAGGATGATAAAGCAAGCACATCAAAAGCACATATTTTATATTATCTAAAGAAAGTCTGCAATACTGATCCTCAAAGGATGACTCATTATTTAAGAGAAGAAATTCATTCCCCTCTTAAAAGTTACCTTGCACACTATGATTACATTTATACTATCATTAGCTTTCCAAAATATGGTTCTCTGTTGCCAAAGGGGTATGAATCTGTTTGGTGTAGTAATTCCAAGTGAATATGCACTTCAATGACTTATTTTATGTTTCATTGCATTTTCTAAAGCCAAGTATCATTAAAGGTGATTTCAGCATACTGTATTATATGCTGCATGGCTTTGGAAGTGCAGCTGTGCACAAAAAGTCTTCTGGTTGTTATGTGTGTGCCAAATAATGCATCTTCTGTACTGTTGTGCTACTGTGCTTACATGTATCGTGCTCTCTGATGACTGCAAGTCCACACATTAGAGGAATTACAACTTTGGTGTTTATCTTCAGTGTTCAAAGACATGCCATTCATTTGGATGAAATCCTTCACATTCTTATTTATTAATTGCAATATTACACTCTTCTTGACATGCCTATAATTAGGCTGTTCCTGTGCTTGTCTTACCTTACCATGTTGCTCATCACATCTTGTGGTTGAATGTTATGCTTGGGGAAAAATTATTAAAATTGTTGTATACATTAAATCTCATACATGGACAGTTAATTGTATTGTGAGCAGCTGGACTAGTTGTACTTCGATGTATAGCAGTAACCATATGCTATCTCTGATTTCAAAGAAAATATGGATTAAGGATATCAACTTATAAAGAAATGATGTAGTGTTATGAGTGTTGTGTGAAGTATAAACATGTTTTCTAGTAAATGGACAATGACTAGCCAACATTTATATGGTGGTAAGCCCAGTTATCATCATAGTCATAAATAATGCTGCTACAAATATTTGATTCCAATTCTTAAGTGATATAAAATGATTACTCTATTTTCCGTAATATTTTTTGAATCCCAATATGTTTTCAGCTTAATATATTTACAGGGATTTCTATGTCCATGTACAGTATATCCTATTTAAGGTATTCATGCTTTTTTTTTTTTTTTTTTTCCTTCAGATGTAATGCATTATAGGATGTTACCAAGCTCAAAACAGTGTGAACAACTTGATATACCTAGTTGAAATTTTTGGGTAATGCTTTTATATTTTATTATAGCAAAATAGATTTGTAATTGGTATGCTTTTTGGATGCCATGGTTTTAAAGTTGAAAATCAGCAATTCATTTGTGACATCATCTTCCATTAATCATATGTTAAAATGTAATCTATAGTTAATATTTATTTTTCTGCCTTTGTTATTGTGAATTACAGGGGAGCATCGACTATCCATGATAAACAGTTAAAAACCTTGTCTGGTGGCTGTAACTATAGACTGGAAATGTAATTTTACCACTCCCATCATTTTTGTTGATATGATTGTTCAGCAAAATAGAAAGCTATTTAAGAGAGAAAATATAATCAAAATAGAAAACCATTTAGGAAGATATAAAAGCAGTTATCTTTAGTTATTTTGATTATCACTTAATTTTGTCTTAGATTCCAGCAATATAAACATTTGTAAATAGAGGTTTCATTTTAACTGTACATAGTTGTTTGACTCAGATCATGAATTCCTTGTACTTTGTTCATGCCACCCTTGGAGCCATCAAGAGGGGTTCACTCATATCTGTTATAATCAATTTAGCATTGCTGTATCCCTGTTCTCCTGTTGTTATCAGTTTTTTAGATGTGAGATACATTCAATTGCTGTTTAATATGATAATAATGGATAGTCGATGCTGTGCTGTACACTAATTTGAAGAATTTTTTAGTTTCTTTGTATTTGGAATAGCACCAGGAAGTCAGTTACTAGATAAATTAAAAGTTCTCTGTTTGTGTCGAATTAAGAGATGCACCAAGACTTTAATAAGAAAGACAATGCTTTTAATGATTTTTACAAGAAGAAATGCCATAACTTTTAGCATATAACTTGCTGAATTAATGGTTTCAGTGTGCATTGAAAGTTGTTTGAGGGATCAACCAGTGTGTCCAAGATTATTCAAAGGTTTCCCAGCACAGGAGAGAGAGTATCAGGGATAAAGTGTTAGATGTCTAAGAGATGACTACCTGATGTATTTAGTTTTCATTCCTTTGTTTTATCAAGCCCTCTTTCTGTGTCGTCATATATTGTCTTTACATTTCATTGTAGCAGTATCCCTCGACATGCAACATAAGTATGTTCTGTGGATGTTATTGCTTTGTGCTCTATACAAATTCCCTGTTGACTGTTCTGAAATATACAGATTTTATTGTAATTTATTGGTCTGTTTCTTTTATATATTCCTTATATGTATTATCTGACACATGATTTGTAAAAGGTAAACAGTGAACTAAAAGATAATCTGGTGAAGTTGTCTTGAAGAAGTTAATACCTTTGTAGTGGCATACAGCTATGTTAGTTTGCAAAATATAGTGATGATGATGATTTAGAATTTTCATAAGTTTAATATCTATTTTCCTCATGTGAAAATTTATTTGAACATTCTAACTGCTTTCTGACTCACAAAAACAAAATACCTGTACCATTTGATGTGTGTGATTTTATGATACAAGATATTATGTATGGAAAATTTTGTGATGAACGTGTATAGTTCAAATAATTTTTATTAGATACTGTATTGTGGCAGCAAACAGACTGCTTACTTGTTTCAGCCCAGGCTTACAGTATATTTTAATTATATTTGGATGGCTGAAATATAAGAGAAAGAACATCAGGGAATAGTGCCTGTACTGTACTACAATATACAGTATTTCCTCATTAACCTTGGGAGGGTTGGCAAGACTAAAAGCTTATGGGAAATGGGGGGTTGGGTTCCATGGCCGCGGATAACACTCGTCAAAGCCTTCGTTGCCTGTTCCTTCACTAAACAATACCTGTATTGTGCATTTACAGGTACAGTGGCCCCTCGGTTAATGAGCACAATTCATTCCAGAAGGTTACTCGTTAACCGAAACCATTTTTTCAATGGGTTTTGGGTAATTGGTTCCAACTCACCGAAAATTGCCTAAAGTCAACAAAAAAGGTAGTAAAGTACACTTACTTTGAGGTGTGTATGTAGAAGGCTCCTGGATGATGATGATGATGGGAATTAGAATGGGGGTGGAGGAGAAGGGAGAAGAGAAGGCATTGGGGTGGAAGAGAAGCCACCCCATGGCGCCATTTTACCCATAAAATTTTAGTTCACTTGGTGTAATTCAAGATCATTTTCTTTAAATCAACACTGCACTGCATTATATATTGTCAATATGTAAAATAAATTTCAAAATGACCAATAATTTGACTGGAAACAGAAAAAAAAGCGTTTATGTTGAAGAGAGTCTGAAGCAAAATGTTACCTCCACTGAAAAGACGCAGAGACTGACGCCTGCTTGGTGTGTTGACAGGCTGTTTGGCGCGCTAAAAACTAGTTTCCCTGTACTTAAATTATGTTAAATAATTGTTAAAATGACTAAAACATTTGATGCAAGACTTTTAAAATTATTGAATAGTACAAACGTCTTGATATTTACTAAAATAGTAAGGAATTTAAGCCCTAGAACCGATTACTGTATTGGCGGACTAATACGACAGCTAGTGTGCAAGTGAAAACATGTTGAGGGGTGCTCGTAAGGAATTTGTTAATCGAGGGAATGCTCATTAACCGAAGTTAAGAATCTTATGGAAGGTAATTCGTTAACCGAGGGATCACTGTAATTACTGTAAATTCGAGTCAAATTCATATAAAATAGCTTAATATAAATTAAATAGAAAAACCCTCTTAATCTGGATTAATTGAGAGGAAATTCAGTACAGTATAGACAAAACGATTTCTAGAGAGGGTTTTTTTTATGTAGAAAAAGTCTGGATTAACCAAGAAAATCCGTATGGCAATCCGGATTGCCATCTGGTGCACATGAATGCGAGCCCCAACTGCTTTGCTATTAGCCAGTCATGCTGCTACAGCACTCATGTGTGTGTTTCTTAACTCCTGTGGACAATTTGTGACGTTGTGGACTAATTACCATGGCATCCAAAGGCAAGACAACATCAAAAGAGGGCCAGAAAGAAGTTTAGCTTAAATGACAAGCTAGAAGTTCTGAAAGCTCATTAGAAAGGTGTGTCTGCAAAAGTTTTGATGGTGAAATATGACTTTAAAATTCAACCATCAACAGCATCACCAACTTTGTAGTAAATACTGTACTGTATGTCCTGTATGTACAAGAATTATATTATTTATATATTATACTGCAGATTCGTGATTCAAAAGTGTTTGTTTATTTTTGCCACCATGTGGGTAGATCTGGACTTTCATGTTAATCTAGACTCAATCTTAATTAACAGAAATTAGTCCAGATAAAGAGAGTTTGGATTAAGAGGGTTTTACTAATATAAATTTTACAGTACATGGTGGAGATGGCACATTGCTATAAAACAAGAAAATGAATAGCATGAATGTGTATGTGTGTGAAGTGAAGTAATAATAATATTTAACGGTTTATTGAAAAAGTTCTGCAGCCCAAAGGCTAAAAATATACATTGGACAAAAATGACTTTTTACATACAAAGACATGGGGTGGGTGGGTCGTTTAACAAAAGCTTTCATTATTGAAAGAAGGAACAATGATTGAACATACAAATTATTATAGTTTACAGTTGATGGCCCGGGCATGGGCTGGTCATGGAGACACCAGGTGGTGTGGTGTTCACGTGGTGCAGTAACTCGTCCTCGGGTGTTGATATGAAGAACCTCACTTGGTCATGGGGACACCCGGTGGTGTCACAGTACCTCGCCCTGCTGGGTGGTGTTGTGTTATCTCGTAGTCAGGTGTGAAGCCGACCCACTATTGTTCCCATTGTGGACTGATTAGCACCTGGTCACAAGATGGCGGTCAGTTCCCAGGGGTGCTTATCTCACAGGTGGGTCACGGCTCTCACTGGTACTGTCTAGTGCTGAATTCACTGGCTTAAACACTGCTCAACACTGGTTCCACTTCTTTCCGAAACTTTTGATTATGTAGATATCCCGGTGGTGAGGATGGGTTGGGGAGAGGGACTTGGGGAATGGGCCGAACATTGGCCAAGGGGGGCCGCCGCTCAGCAGGAGCAGCACCTGAATAGGTCTCGACCCGACGGTGGTGTCTGTGGACTTGGCAGGTCACCAAGTTAGACTGTCTGTGTAGCTACATCCCCTTACCAGGCCAAGCTGTGTTATTGTTATTTATCACCCCCCACCCCCTCCATCAATCGTGAGGAACCCATGAGAATTCAGGATTTTGGGTGGGAGAACAAAAACGGAAGCTAATCTCGGCTAATATTTAGAAGATGCCAACACCTACTTATATATTGAGACTTATAAAGGGAGAAAGAAAAAAGTAAAAATAAATTATTATCTAACATTTCCGTCGTAAATTTATATTTTTTGAGTATTTTAACCGATAAAATTACCCACAATATTAGTTGTTGAAAGTGAACAGGGCTTTGAACTACAGCAAAAATGTGACGTAAAATACTTAAAAAGAACACCAACGAACCTTTGAAAACCTTACCTAATGTTTCCTAACTTGTAAAAATGTGAAGATTCACTTATGAATTTATGGGTCCCTCCTCATCTGAGCACTGAAAACAACACCAACACATACTGAAAACCAAATGCAACGCCATCACTTACTGAACACAAAACATGAATGAGTTAAACTATAGTGTTAGTGTTTTTAAAGGTTGGGGAATGTCAGGTCAAATTTTCAAAAGTTTGTTACTGTTTTTTTTTTCTAGTATTTTACCCCATATTTTCCCTCTACTTCAAAGCCCTGCCCACTTTAAACAAGTAATATTGTTGGTAATTTTATCGTTTAAAATACTCTTAAAATATATACAGTATTTCTGACAGAAATGTGATAGAATAAATTATTTGTAGTTTTCTTTTCTCTCTCCTTATATGACTCAATATATAAGTAAGTGTTAGCAACTTCTAAATATTTACCCAAATTTAAAGTAACCTAAACTAACCAAACATAACCTAACCAAAGCCTAACTTAACTTAACTTAACCAAAACCAAACATAACCAAAATCTAACCCAGCCTAACCTAACTTAACCTAATCTAACCTAACCTACAAAGACAATGCAATCAAAGCTACAAAGCTTTGTGATTGGTCCTTTTAGGCCCACCAGATGTATCTGATAGTAACATTTTAACTCGAGTAAACCACTAGATGTCTCTCATAGTCACAATTTTATGGAGTTTGTAGAGATAAAATCAACCCTAATGGCCCTGCAATATTTTACATGAATTTACCATCTTGGTTATTATCCATTTGCAAAGAAAGTGGTATTAGAAAAGGTTGTTGCAATTGTCGAGATAACTTTTGGTGAACCCAAAATTTATCTAACCCAATTGGGAGTGAAACTGCAATAATGTCCAGCAAGGCTGAAAATGTTCATGATATTAAATGCTATGTACGTGCAAGTAACCTTGTGCCCACAGCAAGGCTAGAGAAACTCAACATGTTCTCAGACTGTGTCGATGAGTTCTGTTACCTGGATGACATGTTCATTGACAATAACAGTGGGACTGCTGAAGCCTGCTCAATTGCAAAAGAAGGAAGTGGACGGAGAAAGTTTAGGGAGCTACAGCCTTTATTGACGGCAAGAGGACCTTCTCTCCAAGTGAAAAGGAGAACGTATTCGGCTTCTGTGAGAAGTGTGATGTTGTATGGTAGTGAAACATGGCCAAATAATGAGGATGACATAAGTAGACTTCAGTGAACTGAAATGAGAATGGTAATGTGACAAAAGAGATTACAAGAGAGTAGTAACCATCCCACATGGAGAACTGCCATCAGATAAAGCCTCTGCAAACCCACACAAGTGTAGATAATGGTTGTAAAATGATGATGATGATCAATGCCTATTCTTTCTTAGACATTCACTTGAACCTCTCTAATTTTCCCTTCACTTTGGACTTTGTGATCATTTGGACATTTTTGGTGATGTTCAATTACTCGGCAATATTTAAAAAATGAGGTCCAAATTACAGTACTGTACACCAACGTTGTCTAATTTATTCACACGTCTGAAAAGTTGAAATTGGTGGTCCCACACAGAAGAACCGTTTAAGACATAGCCTTAGAGGCTTAGGCAGTGGTTCTCAAATCATGAGTCGCGATCCAAAGGTGGGCTTACCCGCAAGCCGATTTTCATTGGGTTGCGGTGATCTACCATTTTTTTTTCTGGATCACTGGTACACAATGGGAACCTTCAACCAGTCTATTATTAACTGG